CTTTCGATTTTACAACATATATTTGGTAGTTTCGACTTGGCACTTTTTCGATTTTCAAGTTTCTCAATTTTTAGTGTTGATTTTTGATTTTGAATTTATTAAATTTTTTAAGTTCTTCACTGCCAGTTTTTAGACTTTTTAAAGCTTTCACTTTTTCTTTTATTCATTTTGATTTTTCAGTTTTGCAATTTTCCAATTTTTAAATTTTTTTCCCTCGAAAAGTTGAAAAATGGGAAAATTAAAAATCAAAAAACTTAAAAATAAGAAATAAATAAATGAAAATCGAATAAGTCAAGAAACGAAAGATTGAAAAACTTAAAAATCGAAAAAAACTATTGAATCGAAAATTTGGAAAGAAGGAAAAAGGAATCGAATCAAAAAGTTGGAAAATCGAAAAATTGTACAGTCGAAAAATTATCCAATCATCAAAATTGTAAAATCCAAAATCTGTAAGAATCGAATACCGAAAAATTGAAAATTAAAGATCGAGAAACTGAAAAATTAAAAATCGAAAAATTGAAAAATCCAGTAAATGAAGCAGTTCTAAAATCTATTATCTAAAAAAGGAAAAATTCTAAAATCGTTAAATTGAATAAGTGAAAAATGTTTAAAATTACAATTATTGTTACATATTTAAAAAGAAAATTAGAAAATGCAAAGAAAAATTGAAGAAACGGAAAATTGAAAAATTCAAAAATTGAAAAATATCACATTGAAAAAAGAAATTTTATGAAATAAACCACTGAAAAACTGAAAAATTTAAAACGAAAATTGAAGAAACAAAAAAAATGAAAAAAAGAAAAATCCAAAAATTGAAGAAATTGATATTGAAAAAGCAAAAAACTGTACTGGAACATCAAAAAATCGAAAAATTATAAAAACGAAGCGAATAAAAACCGAAACACAAAATTGCAAATGGAAAATTTAAAGAATTGAAAAATTGAAAAGTTGAATAAATGAAAAAGTTTTTAAATCCAGTAAGTCAAAAATGAAATAATTCTAAAAAAGTAAAATTGAAAAAGTGAAATATTGTAGAAATCATGGAACTGAAAAACCTAAAATAACAAACATGAAGAATTAAAAAATCTGAAAGTTGAAAAATCGAAAAATTCAATACTGGAAAATGCAAAATCCAAAAACTAAATTCGAAAAATTGTAAAAATGAAGCAAATAAAAACCCAAAATTTTTAAAAATTCAAAAAAAAGAAGAAGTTTTAAAATCCACTATTGAAAAAACACTGAAAAATCTAAAATTGAAAAATTGAAAACCCAAAAATGCAAAATCCAAAAATTAATAAATTGAAGAATCGGAACATTGAAAAATCAAAAAATAGTAAAAATAAAGCACATAAAACACCGAAATGCAACATTTCAAATCGAAAAATTTAAAAATCAAATAAATGAAAAAGTTTTTAAAATCCTGTAATGCCAAAATGAAATATTTCCAAAAAACTACAATTGAATAAGTGAAATATAAAAATTATGGAACTGTAAAACCTAATATTGAAAAAGTAAAAAATTAAAAAATCTAAAATTTGGAAAATTGTAAACCGAAAAATGCAAAATCCAAAAATTGAAAAATTGGAGAATCCAAACATTGAAAAATCGAAAAATTGTAAACATGGCGCAAATAAAAACCGAAAAAAATTGAAAATCGAAAATTTGAAAAATTAAAAAATTGAAGAATCGAAAAGTTGAAAAACCGAAAAATTGAAAACCGAAAAAGGCAAAATCCAAAAACTGAAAATTTGAAAAATTGAAGGATCGGAATACCGAAAAATTGAAAAATTGTAAAAAATAAAGCAAAAAACCCGAAAATTTGAAAAATTCAAAAAGTGAAGAATCGAAGAACTGAAAAATCGAATAAATGAAAAGGTTTTAAAATCCAGTAATTGAAAAAAAAACACTGAAAAATCAAGAAACTGAAAATTCTACAATTGAAAAAATGAACAATTAAAAAATGTAAAGGTTGATAAATCGAAAAATTGAAAACCAAAAAATGCAAAATCCAAAACTTTGTAAAATTAAAAAATTGAAATATAAAAATTATGGAACTGTAAAACCTAAGATTGAAAAAATAAAAAATCAAAAAATCTAAAATTTGGAAAATTGTAAACCGAATGCAAAATCCAAAAATTGAAAAATTGGAGAATCCAAACATTGAAAAATCGAAAAATTGTAAACATGGAGCAAATAAAAACCGAAAAAATTGAAAATCGAAAATTTGAAAAATTAAAAAATTGAAGAATCGAAAAGTGGAAAAACCGAAAAATTGAAAACCAAAAAATGCAAAATCCAAAAATTTGTAAAATTAAAAAATTGAAATATAAAAATTATGGAACTGTAAAACCTAAGATTGAAAAAATAAAAAATTAAAAAATCTAAAATTTGGAAAATTGTAAACCGAAAAATGCAAAATCCAAAAATTGAAAACTTGGAGAATCCAAACATTGAAAAATCGAAAAATTGTAAACATGGAGCAAATTAAAACCGAAAAAAATTGAAAATGGAAAATTTGAAAAATTAAAAAATTGAAGAATCGAAGAACTGAAAAATCGAATAAATGAAAAGGTTTTAAAATCCAGTAATTAAAAAGAACACTGAAAAGTCATGGAAATGAAAAATTTAAAATTTAAAAAATAAACAATTAAAAAATGTAAGAGTTGAAAAATTGAAAACCGAAAAATGCTAAATTCCAAAAATTCAAACATTGATGAATCAGAACATTGAAACAGCGAAAAAAAGTAAAAATAAAGCAAATAAAAACCGAAATCCAAAATTGCAAATCAAAAATTTGAAAAATTGGAAAAATGAAGAAACGAAAAATTGAAAAATCGAATAAATGAAAGTTTTAAAAACCAATAATCGAAAAATGGAACCATTCTGAAAAAATAAAATTTAAAAAGTGAAATATTTCAAAAGTAATTAATTCATATTTAAAGTGAAAACTTTTACCATTGTAAATTGAAAATTGAAGAAATGAACAACTGAAAAATCTAAAATTGAAAAAATGAAAAATAAAAAATCTGAAAGTTGAAAAATCAAAACATTGAAAACCGAAAAATGCAAAATCCAAAAATTAAAAAGTTGAAAAAGTGAAGAATCGGAACATGGAAAAATCGAAAATTGTAAAAATGAAGTAGATTAAAAACTAAAAAGCAAAATTTCAAATCGAAAATTTCAAAAATTGAAAAGATAAGAATCGGAAAATTGAAAATCGAACAAATGAAAAAATTTAAAAATTCAGTAATTCAAAAATGAAATAATTAAAAAAAAATTCAAAAAGTGAAATATAAAAATCATGGAACTGAAAAACCTAAAATTGAAAAAATGAAAAATAAAAAAATCTAAAAGTTAAAAAATCGAAAAATTGTAAAAATGAAGCAAATAAAAACCCGAAAATTTAAAAAATTGAAAATGTGAAGAATCGAAAAACGGAAAAATCGGATAAATGAACAAATTTTAAAATACACTAATTGAAAAAAACTCTGAAAAATCATGGAACTGAAAAATTTAATTTATTGAAAAAATGAAAAATTTAAAAATTTAAAACCTGAAAAAGCGAAAAATTAAAAACCAAAAAATGCAGAATTCAAAAATGGGAACATTGAAAAATCGAAAAATAGTAAAAAATTACGCAAATAAAAACCGAAATGTGAAATTGTAAATCGAAAAATTGAAAAATTGTAAAATTGTAGGATCGGAAAATTAAAAATCGAATAAATGAAAAATTTTTAAAATCCAGTAATCCAAAAATGGAACAATTCTAAAAAAATCAACTTGAGAAGTAAAATATCTTAAAAATTGTTATTATTATTTCATATGTAAAGTAAAAACTATTGACACTGCAAGTCAGAAATTGAAGAAACAAAAATTGAAAAATCATGGAACTGTAAAAAAATCTAAAATTGAAGAAATGAAAAATTAAAATCTCAAACAGTTGAAAAATCGAAAAATTCAAAAATTTCACACTGAAAAAAAAAATTAAAAAATCAGAACGTTGAAAAACTGAAAAACTGAAAAAAAAGTTAAAAACCTAAACGGAAAATTGCAAATCGACAATTTGAAGAACTGAAAAATGCAAAAAAATTTAAAATGAAAACTAAAAAAATTGCAGATCAAACACTGAAGGAACAAAAAAGTGAAGAATCATGTTTCTGAAAATTCTAAAATTGAGAAAAACGAGAATTGGAAAGAATCGAAAAGTTGAAAAAATTTAAAAATTTAGATTGCAAGAGCATTGCAGAACATTGAAAAACCAAAAAATTTTAAAAATAAGGAAAATAAAAAGCCCAACCAAAAATTGCAATCCGAAAAATTGGATACATGAAAAACTGAAAAATCGAAAAATTACAAAATTAAAAAAATACATCTAAAAGTTGGAAAATAGAAGAAACAAAAATAATTATAAAATCAAAATATTGAAAAATCGAATATATATGTAAAAAAATAAAAAAAATTACAAAATTCAATACTTGGAAAACTGAAAAATTTGAGCTTAAAAAGTCGAAAAATTTCAAATCGAATAAATAAATGAATGAAAATTTAATCACAAAAGAAAAATCGTAAACAATTTTTATACTTTTTCAAACAAGCGAGATTTGTTGGGTTACACTTCAGGAGCGACAAGTTTTTACAGTCTAATACCACACTAATAACACCAATTTCCCCCATTCCCGACTTTCTCCCAACAATTATGAATATTCGTACACGAATCTGCATGAAAGTTTCGAAAATAAAACAAAACCATCCTGTTCATACCCGTAACCCATCCCCGGGCCAGCGCTGAAAATTCATACACGAACCTCTTTTAAATTGCTAATCTCGTCACATTACTAGAGAAATGATTTGCGCAAGCACCGTTACAATAACGAAATTTCGACTCGTTAAATTATTTACAAAATTCGCCCCCGAAGTCGGAATAAGCGCAACCTTTGTGCTCATTATTCCTCTTATTTAAATGTAAATTGGCGAAAGCTCAGTTGTTTCGTTTTTTCCAGATCGACGATGTGGTAGTCATGAAGTCAGCGTTATTGTATCCGTATGACAGCTACGTCGGGAGGGGGTACTGCAGGATATTGAGCCCACGTCACGCCGCTGTCACGGCAGCTATTTACACATTAGTGAGTATTTACCATATATCAACAAAGTTAAATGCTTGTAGAGTAAGAGGATTAGGTGTGTATCTCCGGGATTGCGGATAATTGTTTTTACATAATGACTAGGAAAGTTCGGACCGTTAAGTGCCGGGAGATCTAAAGCGATGATTGGCACTTAGTATGGAAATGTATTCTGGGCTCGTGGACAGTGGTTATTAAAAAAAGGTGTACGTGAATGTTTATCGATTGGTATTAAAATGATGGAAACGAGGAGGACCGTGGTCGGTTTAAGACTGTTGTTACTGTTCTAGGAAAATATTATTCGAAACTTTAGTTCTTTGACCACAGGGGTCTAAAAAAGATCGGGATAAGAGGATAAACATTTGTTCTTTTAAGCCCAACTTGCAATTTTCTTTTCCGGGAAAGGTTACAATCACTACTATGTTTAGCCGTATATTTAGACCTAAGTAAACTAGATTCGTAATAAAAATTGAAAATACTGAAAATTCGGACCCTGTATTTCGAAATTCGGTTGAATCAATTTGAGGACTTCACTAATTTTCGATTTCGCTGACTTTCTTGAAATTTCCCGATTTGAACTTAAGAATTCAAACTTTCCAAATTTTATGTTGTAATCTCCACCTACTCGTCCTAAATTGAAGCTTTGTTAATTGAAATTTTAACTACTTATCTCCAAATTTAGACTCAAAATTTTTACTTAATTTTTGAATATTTATTCGAAACTTTAGCTTATCACCACGGAATTTTGGGTTAATTATGCTGAATTTGTATTTATCTATTGACCTTTTAATTTTTAATAATCTTGTGAGTTTGACTTAAGTAAAAGTAAATTGCGGGTAATTAATTAAACATTTTTTTTATTATTTCAAAATTCTGACGCAATTCAATTTCAGACATAAGAATTCGATTTTTTTTTATTACATTGTCTTGACTTAGTTGACTTGAAATTTCACCGTAAATAACTTACAGTTCTAATTTGCGGCTTATGAATTTACAATTTTGCTCTTTTTATTTTGTAATTTCCATTTACTCTGTCCTAAATAGAGATCCAATTAATTGAAATTTTGACTTAATTAAGTATTAACTGGAAATATCAGCTTATCATTCATAATTAAATCCAATTAAATTAATTAAATATTTTCCATTATTATTTTAAAATTCTGAGGTAATTCGAAATTTTCTTTTATTAGATTGTCTTGACTTAATTAAGTTAAAATTGCGCCGTAATTAGCTTAAAATTGTGCCTTGTTATCCTTAAATCTCCATCCATTATCGGAAAATTTTAAGGTGATTAACTCCAAATTTTGACTTTGTAAAACTAAAAATTTTGCTATCTCGAAATTTCCTAATTTACAACTAACGAATTCAGAATTTTCCCTTTTTATTTTGTAATTTCCACCTAAGTAGTTCGAAATTGACTCTTATTTAATAGAAATGTTAACTAAATATCCCCAAATTTATATTCAAAATTTTTACCTACGTAAGTAATTTCAGTTTAATTATTCGAAATTTAAGTATAATCCAGAAATTTTGCGTTAATAAGTTCGAATTTTTTACTTTTCCATCCGGCTTTCAATTAGTTATCGTGCAAATTCGACTTAATTAAGTATAATTTGCATTTAATTAATGACATATTTCCCTTTGTTAGTTCCCAGTTCGGACGTAATTAAACTTTAGAACGAATTCGAAAATTTTCTTTACTATATTGTATTGATTTAATTTATTCGAAATTTCACCGTAATTTACTTAGAATTATCATTCTCTCTCATTCTACCATTTATCACTCTCTCTCATTCTCTCATTTATCACCCTCTCTCTCATTCCCTCATTTATCACCCTCTCCTTCATTCTCCCATTTATCACTCTCTCTCTCTCATTCTCCCATTTATCACTCTCTCTTTCATTCTCCCATTTATCACTCTCTCTCATTCTCCAATTTATCAATCTCTATCATTCTCTCATTTAACACCCTCTCTGTCATTCTCTCATTTATCACTCTCTCTCATTCTCCCATTAATCACTCTCTCACTCATTCTCCCATTTATCACTTCCTCTCTCTCACTCTCTCATTTATCACCCTTTCTCTCATTCTCCAATTTATCACTCTCTCTCTCATTCTCTCATTTATCACCCTCTCTCTCATTCTGCCATTTATCACTCTCTCTCATTCTCCCATTTATCACTCTCTCTCATTCTCTCATTTATCACCCTTTCTCTCATTCTCGCATTTATCACTCCTTCTCTCATTCTCCCATTTATCACTCTCTCATTCTCCCATTTATCATTCTCTCTCATTTTCCCATTTATAACTCACCCTCTTTCTCTTATTTATCACCCTCTCTCTCTCATTCTCTCATTTATCACTCTCTCTTATTCTCTCATTTATCACCCTCTCTCTCATTCTCCCATTTATCACTCTCTCTCTCATTCTCTCATTTATCACCCTTTCTCTCATTTTCCAATTTATCACTCTCTCTCTCTCATTCTCCCATTTATCATTTCTCTCTCATTCTCCCATTTATGACTCTCTCTTTCATTTTCCCATTTATCACTCTCTCTTCGTTATTTCCCAATTCTGACGTAATTAAATTTTAGACGTACGAATTCGAAAATTTTCTTTATTATATTGTATTGCATGATTTAATTTATCCGAAATTTCACCCTAATTTACTTAAAATATTATTTTCTCTCATTCTCCCATTTATCACTCTCTCTTTCATTCTCCCATTTATCACTCTCTCTCATTCTCCCATTTATAACTCTCTCTCTTTCTCTTATTTAACACCCTCTCTCTCATTCTCCCATTTATCACTCTCTCTCATTCTCTAATTTATCACTCTCTCTCTCATTCTCCCATTTATCACTCTCTCTCTCATTCTCTCATTTATCACTCTCTCTCTCATTTTTTCATTTATCACCCTTTCTCTCATTTTCCCATTTAGCACTCTCTCTCTCTCTCATTGTCTCATGTATCACTCTCTCTTTCATTCTCCCATTTATCACTCTCTCTTTCATTTTCCCATTTATCACTCTCTCTTCATTATTTCCCAATTCTGACGTAATTAAATTTTAGACGTACGAATTCGAAAATTTTCTTTATTATATTGTATTGATTCAATTTATCCGAAATTTCACCGTAATTTGCTTAGAATATAATTTTCTCTCATTCTCCCATTTATCACTCTCTCTCATTCTCCCATTTATCACTCTCTCTTTCATTCTCCCATTTATCACTCCCTCATTCTCTCATTTATCACCCTCTCTCTCATTCTCCCATTTATCACTCTCGCTCATTCTCCCATTTATCACTCTCTCTCATTCTCTCGTTTATCACCCTCTCTCTCATTCTCGCATTTATCACTCTCTCTCATTCTCCCATTTATCACCCTCTCTCTCTTATTCTCCCATTTATCACTCTCGCTCATTCTCCCATTTATCACCCTCTGTCTCATTCTCCCATTTATCACTCTCTCTCATTCTCCCATTTATCACCCTCTCCTCTCATTTTCCATTTATCACTCTCCGATTTTTCAATTTTTTTCGGATTTTATTTTCTTTATTTTCACAATTTCTCGATTTTATTATTTGTTTGTTCAGTTTCAAGTGTTTCCATTTTTCGTTTCAGTTTTTTGATTTGTAATTTTTCAATTATTCATTCTATTTTGTTTCTTCAATTCTTCGAGTTTTCATTTTTAAATGTTTCAGTTTTTCAATTTTAAAATTTTTGGATGTTTCAATTTTTAGATTTTGCATTTTTTTTATTTTTTCACATTTTCGAGTTTTGAGTTTTTCGATTTTTGAACTTTTAGATTTAGGTCCTCAATTTTTCGATTTGCCATTTTTCGTTTCGGTTTTTTATTTTGTTTATTTTTTCAATTTTTGGGTTTTCAATGATCTGATTTTACAATTTTTCTTTTTCTACTGTGAAGTTTTATAATTTTTGGGTTTACAATTTTTCGATTTTTCAACTTCCAGGTTTTCTTATTTTTCTTTATTTAATTTTTGTTTTGTAATTTTTCTAATTTTCATTTTAAATAATTCTGTAATGATTATAACAATTTTAAAAAAATCACTTTTTCAATTTTACGATTTTTGATTTTTCAGTTTTTCGATTCTTTAATTTTTATTTCTTATTTTTTTAAATTTATTTATATTTACAATTTTCGATGTTTTAATGTTCCGATTTTATAATTTTTTGTTTCTCCAATTTCAAACCTTTCCAATTTGTCGTTTCAATTTTCGATTTGCTATTTTTCAATTTTTCTTTTTTTGTTTCTTAATTTTTAGGACATGCAATCATTGAGTTTTCAATTTAAAATTTCTCAGGTTTTCGATTTTCCCACTTTTGGATGTTTCAATATTTAGATTTTGGAATTTTTCGACTTGCAATTTCACGACTTTTCAATGTTTTGATTTTTCAATTTTTAATTTTTTCTATTTTACTGTTTGCAATTTTTTGTTTCGGTTCTTTGTTTTCTTTATTTTCACAATTTTTTGACTATATAATGTGGTTTTTCAGTTTCAACTGTTTCAATTTTTCGTTACAATTTTTTGATTTACAATTTTTCAATTTTTCATTTGGCTTTTTTTTATATTTTCTATTTTTCAGTTTTCCAATATGATGTTATTATATATTATTATTGGTTTTTTTTTAATTGTGAAATTTTACAATTTTGGATCATTTCCGCTTTCATTTCTTCGATAACTCCAATGGTTCTTCCAGAATCGTCCTTTGAAATATATAGAAATATGGAAAATACGACCAATTTTTGGCCAATTTTCAACAAAATTTTCGAAATTTCACTAAATATATTTTCTTGTAGATTTCGGGCCGCAGAAGTCATTTCCGCTTTCATTTCTTCGATAACTATGGTTCTTCCAGAATCGTACTTTGAAATATATAAAAATATCCAAAATTTTTGACCAATTTTCAACAAAATTTTCGAAATTTTACTAAATACATTTTTTTGTAGATTTCGGGCCGTAGAAGCCATTTCCACTTTCATTTTTTCGATAACTCCAATGATTCTTCCAGAACCGTCCTTTGAAATATATAAAAATATGCAAAATACGACCAATTTTCGGCCAATTTTCAACAAAATTTTCGAACTTTCCACTAAATACATCTTCTTGTACATTTCTGGTCGTAGAAGTAATTTCCGCTTTCATTTTTTCGAAAACTCCAGTGGTTTTTCCAGAATCGTCCTTTGAAATATATAAAAATATCCAAAATTTTTGACCAATTTTCAACAAAATTTTCGAAATTTCACTAAATACATTTTTCTGTATTTTTCGGGCCGCAGAAGTCATTTCCGTTTTCATTTCTTCGATAAATCCAATGGTTCTTCCAGAATCGTCCTTTCAAATATATAAAATTCTCTCATTCTCCCAATTATCAGTCTCTCTTATTCTCTCATTTATCACCCTCTCTCTCATTTTCTCATTTATCACTCTCTCTCTCTCTCATTCTCCCATTCATCACTGTATCTTTCATTCTCTCATTTAACACTCTTTCTCATTCTCCCATTTATCACTCTCATTCTCTCATTTATCACCCTCTCCCTCATTCTCTCATTTATCACCCTCTCTCTCACTCTCCCATTTATCACTCTCTCTCATTCTCCCATTTATCACTCTCTCTCATTCTCCAATTTATCACTCTTTCTCTCATTCTCTCATTTATCACCCTCTCTCTCATTCTCCTAGTTATCACTCTCTCTCTCTCATTCTCCCATTTATCACACTCTCTCATTCTCTCATTTATCACCCTTTCTCTCATTCTCCTAGTTATCACTCTCTCTCTCTCGTTCTCCCATTTATCACACTTTCTCATTCTCCCATTTATCACTCTCTCTCTCAGTTTCCCATTTATCACTCTCTCTCATTCTCCCATTTATCACTCTCTGATTCTCCCATTTATCACTCTCTCTCATTCTCCCTTTCCGCTCTCATTTCTTCGATAACTCCAATGGTTGTTCCAGAATCGAACTTTGAATTATAAACTGAAACTGAAACTAAAACTGAAACTTCATTAGTGTGATGAACTTAGAATTCTGACTTTGTTATACTAAATATTTTGTTCACTAATTGAGGCTTAGTTATTTGAAATTTTAACCAATTACCTTCCAAATTTGGAGTAAAAATTTTGACCTACGTAATATTTGAGTATCAGTTCGAAATTTCAAATTATCATCAAGAAATTTTGGGTTATTAGGTTGAATTTCTACTATCTTTCTGGATTTCAATTTATTATCATAAAATTTCGACTTGATTAAGTGTAATTTGTGCGTGATTAATTAAATATTTCTTCCTGTTATTTCAAAATTCAGACGTAATTAAACGTTAGTCTTAGGAATTCGAAATGTTCCGTTATTATGACTTGAATTAATTAAGTCGAAAATTTACTGTAATTAACTTCTAGTTGCGATATTTTATCGATCCACTGTCATGAAATTGTAGTCTAATTAACTCCAAATTTTGACTAATTTAAAATTTTTTACGAAATTTAATTATTTTTTGTAATTTTGATTCAATTAAATTTAAATTAGGGATAATTAATTAAATAGTTTCTTTTTTCATTTCAAACTTTTGACGAAATTACCTTTAAATTATTATTATTAATATGTTATAAAACCAGAGACTAGCAAAGCTCCTATTATAAATTCAAATTTGTTAAACCAGCCTGAAGACGGCACTGTGTACCGACCGAAACACGTGCACAGTTGTTAAAAATAACGTTCTAATTATACCTACGCCTTTGCGACACTTTAATAAATCCAATACATCATTGATGCGTTTCTCGTCTATTTTAAACTTTGTAGCTTCGACAGCACAATTTTTGCATTAAATTTAGATGCTCAGCTTGACATCAAAGCTTCATCACATAAATATTTGACGCTTTCATCTCACGTTTTACTTTTTGTATTTATTAAAGCATCACCAGGTCATACATCCGACATTTCTGCAATCGCCGTCACAATCTCCGTAAAATTCCCACCCCCTGAAAATGTTTTTTTAAACCCGCGTTGAAAATCACGGCAGCCCGCCGTAAAATCCGACATTTAAAATAATTCTATAAATCTCCAAATTAATCCCCAGCGCTCGTGGTGCATAAAATTCACATTAAATGAGCGCGGAGTTGCATAATAATCCTTAAATTCTCAAGAATGTTAAATTTATCTCTGTTTAGCGCCGTTTTTTCCCCGTGACTCCGGTTTAATCAAGCCGCGAATCCGCCAAAAGCAATTAAAATAGTCGAGTTTTATTTTCTGTCATCGGCCGTGGGTTGGCAACGGGTTTTTAATAAAGGGCGAATGGAGTGTATGTGACGCGCCATTTATGTAAACAGCAAACTTTTTCGCTCAAGAGAACTCATAAAAGTTGTCTTCTTTTTATTGCAGAACATTTCCATCCTCGTGGTTTTACTATACAGCTGGAGGATAAGTGTAAATATTAAGAAGTATTCCAGTTTAGAAGACGTGTATTATGGTAAGTTGTGCTGTTTTGCATTTTACGATTCGGGGGCAAGAAATCGGCCGTTTGCGTGAAATATTCATACCGTCCTTAAGAAGCTATTTTTCAGCGAGAACATCGCCCGAATTCAATTGCCCCATTTTTCAGGGGTGAAAAATGCCCCAACTAAGGCTTCTGTCATAGCAGCTTTTCATTTCCTAAACAAACGACCGGCCAGCGAGTCTTCGACCAATCGGGGGTTATTTCGCGCGGAACGCCCCTGCGTAACTAACACTTTATGCCCACGATTTTCATCCAGCGGTCCATAATGTGAGTATCTCATACCTCACATGATGGAGCATTAAATCGATGCGTCAACACTACCATAAAAGCCACTTTTTGCCCATAAATCGAACGCTGGCGTTATTAGCGGCGACAAATTTCCCCAGAATTACAAATGCGGAGAACATTTTTCATAACATAATTGACACATGCAGGCGTCTAAGCTGACACGAAGTTATGTGTGGGAATTACTCAAGTTTTTGTGCTGTCTGGACTAGGATATGTGGGGCGGATTGATTTCATTCGACATGAATGCGACGTACTTTCATTTGTTTTAGATTTTACCTGCTATCAAATCCGCCCGTTGTATGATTTTTCAAATCCTCACTGAAATTAGAAATAATAACAGTAATGTATCAGTATTAATGGTTTTATTTCAGCAGCCAAATTTATAAATATTTGATATTTTGATTTTTTTTTAACTGAAAATGTCGAAAATTTTGGTCTTGGCCTATCAAAAGATATGTTTTTTGGAGTTTTTGTGGACTTCTAGGCAAAAGCTAATTTTTTCGATAGTTTCATGAAACTTTTAAGTTTTTTCCGTGCATTTTAGAAAATCATCCAACGACATTTTTTGGTTGTTTTTGACTTCAGAATAATATATTTTTTTAAATTCCATCAATATTTTCAGAATCACCAAAATCAAATATGATCAATTAAGGATTAATTTAAAACTTCATTTTGAAACTGGAAATTTCGAAAATCTTGGCCAGGGTCCATCAAAAGTTATGTTTTTTGAACCCGCTCGTGGGTATCTAAATTCTAGAATTTTTTATAGACTTTTAGGCAACTTTGCCAAAAGACAAATTTTTCAATAGCTCTATGAAATTTTTTATTTTTTCCGGGTACTTTACAAAATTACCCAAAGACATTTTTTGGTTATTTTGACTTCCAGAAGAAATATTTTCAGCAACATTTCTTCGAAAATTCCAATCGCTTTTTCAGAATCCTCAAAATAAAATTTGGTAATTTATGGAATAATTTAAAAACTTGATATTGAAACTGAAAATTTCGAAAATCTTGAGCAGGGCCCATCGAAGGTTATGTTTTTCGAATTAGCTTGTCGATATCTATATCGCAGAATTTTTTCTGGAATTTTGCCATAAAGTCAATTTTTCAATATATTTATAAATTTTTGATTTTTTTCGGATCAATTTCGAAAATTACCCTGACTTTTTTTTCTTGGTTTTGACTTCCAGCAGTTAACTTCGGCCATATATTTCTTCGTAAATTCAAACCAGTTTTCCAGAATCCTCAAAATGACATGTGGCCATTTTTGGGAAAATTTAAAAATTTGATTTTGAAACTAAATTGTTCTATAGGTTTGATCTAGAATCATCAAAGGCTATGTTTTTCGAATCAGGTCTTCGATATCTAAGTATAATCCGAATTTTTTGTTAATAATTGAGCAACTTAGTCAAAAGCTCAAATTTCAATAGTTTTGTGAAACAATAAAAATAACTTATGAATAAAAAAATTCACCACAGTTGAGAGAGGGTGGGTGGGTGGGGCTTATATTTGACCTTTTTTTCTTAATGTATGCAGTCTTCTTTTCACAATAAGAAACCTAAAACATGTTTAAAATAGGAAATATGGATTTTGCGATTAGGCTCCGCCCCCTCTGTCTGAAAACGAATGAAAAATTCATCATGATTGAAATCCAAACGGATGGGTGGGGCTTATCTTTTGGTACTGAAGAATATGTTTCATATGGTAATTCTTGTAGAAAAATATGGATTTTGAAATTAAGTTGCGTCCCCCTGGCTCACGTCGCACAATTGTGTTTCTATTTTTTCGGTTTTGTTGATTTTTTTAATTTCAAATTTTTCAGTATAACTTCGATTTTTCGATTTTGCATTATTTTGGTTTCCCAGTTGTTGGATTTTTTAGTTTCTCGATCTTTTGACATTTCTATTTCTCAATGTGTCAGTTTTTGAATTTTTCGATAGTTCGATTTCTCGCTTTTTGTACTTTTCCCTTTCCCAATTTTTCGTCATTTCACTTGTAGAATTTTTCAATCTCTCGTTTTTTCAGTTTGTCGATTCTTCCTATATTTAAACTGATTACTCATTTTTTTTTGTCGATTTTTCGATATTTCAGTCTTTTAATGTTTCGGTATTTATGTATTTTATATTATATCTTTGGAATTTTTCACTCTTTTTATTCTTAAATTTTTCGATTTTTCAATTTCTCGATTTTCCATGTTTCGAGTCTTCAATTTTTCGATATTTCACTGTTGGCATCGCTTTTATGAAATTTTTTATCTTTTCTAAGCCATTTCGACAATTACCCAGACATTTTTTTGTTCTGGATATTTTCGGCGACATTTCTTTGAGATTCCAATCACGTTTCCAGAATTACTAAAATGAAACATTTCCATTTTTGAGATATTTTGAAAATTTGATTTTAAATTAGAAAATTTTGAAAATCTTAATCTGAACGATAGATCCCAGAATTTTTTGTAGACTTTATACTGCTTTGCCAAAAGCTCTTTTTTTTCAATACTATCATAAAATTTTTGATTTTTTTTCAGCAACATTTCTCTGAAAATTCCAGGACTGTTCCAGAATCACCAAAATGTGACATGACCCTTTTTGGAGTTCTTAATAATAAAATTTTTATTTTTAAATTGAAAATTTCGACAATCTTTATCTGGACGCATCAATGTAACTCTAGTATTTTTTGTGGAATTTTTATGTAACTTTGGCAGAAGCCAATTTTTTCAATACTTTTATGCAATTTTTGATTTTTTCCGAGCACTTTAGAAACTTACCCAAAGAAGTTTTTCGGTGATTTTGACTTCCAGAAAGAATTTTTGGGTAACATTTTTTCGAAAATTTCAACTACTTTTTCAGAATTCTCAAAATGAGATTTGGTCATTTATGGAATAATTAAAAAATCTGATTTTGAAACTAAAATTTCAAAAATCTCGATCAAAGGTTGTGATTTCCAATCAGTTTGTCATCTATAGCCCAAAATTTTTTATGGAATTTTAGGAAACTGCCAAAAGCTCAATTTTTCAATGGTTTTGTGAAATAAAAAAAAGAATGAGGAATAAAAAAATCATTACAATTGGGATAGGGTGGGTAGGCGGCGGCTTATATTTGGCCTTTTTTCTTACTATACGTAGTCTTCTTTTCATAATAAGAAACTTAAAACATGTTTAAAATAGAAAATATAGATTTTGCGATTAGGCTCCGCCCCTCGGTCTGACAACGAATGAAAAATTCATCACGATTAAGTTCGACATCGAAGAGTGGGGCTTAATCTTTGGCATTATTTTTTACTTAATACACATAGCATGTTTGGACAACACCATATTTAAAAACCTGCTTTACGTAATGATTTCTTGTAGAGAAGTATGGATTTTAAGGTCCACCGTCTTGGCTCACAATGAATAAAAAAAAAACATCACAATTGAGATAGGGTGGGAGGGCGGGGCTTATATTTTGCTGTTTTTTCTTAAAATACGTAGTTTTCTTTTCACCACAAAAAGCTTAAAACATATTTAAAAGAGGAAATTTGGATTTTGTAATTACGCTCCGCCCCTCGGTCTGACAACGAATGGAAAATTATTCACGATTCAAATCGGAGCGGATGGGTGGGGCTTATCTTTTGGCACAATTTTTAATCTTTTTCGGGGCAATTTCGAAAATCACCCTAAGACAATTTTTGTAGATTTCGACTTTCACAAGTTAATTTCGGCAATATTTCTTTGAAAATTCGAACCACTTTCCCAGAATCATCGAAGTAACATGGCCCTTTTTGGGAAAATTTGACAATTTGATTTGGATACTGAATTGTTCTAAAGGCTTGATCTAGAACCATCAAAGGCTGTTTTTCCAATCAGCTCTTCGGTATCAATGTCCCAGAATTTTTTTGGATTTTTTGACGACTCTGCCAAAAGTTGAATTTTTCAATATCTTTCTTAAATTTTTGACTTTTTTCGGAGCAATTTCGAAAATTTCCCAGACATTTTTTTCTTGATTTTGATTTCCAAAAGTTAATTTCGGCAATATTTCTTCGTAAATTCCAACCACCTTCCCAGAATCATTAGAGTAACATATACCCATTTTTGAAAAAAATTGAAAATTTGATTTTGAACCTGAGTTGTTCTAAAGACTTGATCTAGAACAATCAAAGACTATGTTTTTCGAACCAGCTCTTCGGTATCTATGTCCCAGAATTTTTTGGATTTGTAGATATCCCTGCCCAAAGTTAAATTTTTCATTATCTTTCTTAAACTTTTGACTATTTTCGGAGCAATTTCAAGGATTTCTTCGTAAATTCCAATCACCTTCCCAGAATTATTAAAGTGACATTTTTGGGAAAATTTAAAAGTTTGCTTTTGAAGCTAAGTTATTACAAAGGCTTGATCTACAACCATCAAAGACTATTTTTCGAATCAGCCCTTCCGTATCTATAACCCGAATTTTTTGTAGATTTTTGGGCAACTGGGCCAAAAGCTCAATTTTTTTACAGTTTTTTGAAATAAAAAAAATTAATGATGAATAAAAAACACCACAATTAAAAGAGAGAGAGAGAGAGGGTGGGTGGGTGGGGCATCTAGTTGGCCTTTTTTCTTAATATATGTAGTCTTGTTTTCACAATATTAAATTTAAAAATGTTTAAAATAGGAAATATGGATTTTTGGTTAAGCTCCACCTCTCGGTCTGACAACGAATGGAAAATTC